GGCTTGACGCCCATAGCTCTATGATTAGGGCACCAGCCACATACACTGAGGCAGGCAGGTTCGAACCTGACCGGGCCTGCTAAACAATGATAAGTGCAATCAAAAAAATAGCCAGGCATTGTGGCAGGCGCCTATATATAGTCCCAGCTACTTGGGAGGCTGAGGCAAGAAAATCACTTAAGCCCAAGAGTCTGAGGTTGGTATGAGGTGTGATACCATGGAACTCTACTGAGGGTGACATAGTAAGACTCTGTCTCAAAAAAAAGAAAAAGGCTCGGCGCCTGTGGCTCAAGCGGCTAAGGCACCAGCCCCATACACCTAAGGTGGCGGGTTCAAATCCCCAGCCCGGGCCCGCCAAACAACAATGATGGCTGCAACCAAAAAATGGCCAGGCGTTGTGGCGGGCGCCTGTGGTCCCAGCTACTTGGGAGGTGGAGGCAGGAGACTCGCTTGAGCCCAGGAGTTGGAGGTTGCTGTGAGCGTGACGCCATGGCACTCTACCCAGGGGGATAGCTTGAGGCTCCGTCTCAAAAAAAAAAAAGATAATTAGGAGGAGGCTAAGGATGGAAACAAGAAAGGAACTTTGGAGAAATGTAATGAGGATGGAAAGGAGGGGGATTGTTAGGTGGATTTCGGGAGTGTGAGAGAGGAGAGGCCAAGGATGACTTTTAGATTTGCCTTGGGAGACTTGACCATGGGGCCATTCATTTTCATAGGGACATAGGAGTGAGGAACAGAGTCCAAAAAGACAAGAAGGATGTTTGCCTTTGCAGATGGATCCAGAGGGAGGTATCAGTAGACAGACTATATGTGGGACTAGAGTATCAATGAGAGTTTGAATTGGAGCATGGTTAGTGGATAAAGCACATATTATTGTCTAGCTTGCTGGAAGTGAGAAGCAGGTTTGATTTGTTACATTTTGTTTTGTTCTTGACAATTAAAACGTTAAGAAGTTTTATTTTAATACCAAAAGTATGAAGACAAAAAATATAGCCCATAATCCCAAGGCTCAAGTAACCTGTACTGAAAGGGAGGGGGGATAATATATGTCGTTGGAAAATACACAGTTCAGAAAAGTATAAAAATGAAAAATGTGGGCCTTCTCCCAGTCCTCTGTTCCCTTTACCACCGTTAACAGTTTCTTGTCTTTCCTTCTAGAAGAAAATGCGTGTACCTACTGGATTCTCTATATTCCCAAGGGGATCCTTTCATATACAGTGTTTAAGAGGTCTGCTTTATGGAGCAGATTAACCTTATTCTTACTTTGCCAGCCTTCACAAACCTGTCTGTCTTGGTAGGGTGGACCCGTGAGCTCATTGAGGGAAAGGCAGTATCTGCATCCCTAACTTAGGTATGGGGGCTGGCTTAGGGTAGGTGCTCAGGAAGGAATTGCTGAATGAGCTGTGGCTGCATTTGGAAATTTGGAGAGCCTTTGCTTGCAGGTCCCGTTGGTTAAGTGACTCATTCAGCAAATGTTTTCAGAGTCCCAACCAAATTCTCAGTGTGCTGTGTGTGGATGGTGGGGGAGGCAGAGCGGAGGACTTGGCTCCTGGCCTTACTGAAGGGCAGAACTGCAAAGGCCAGAGATCTTCCAACCTTCTTGCTTTTTGAGGAGAAAACTGAGGCCTGGAGTGAGGTTATTTATTTGTCTAACGCAGTATTTTTCAAACTTTTTAATCTCATGGCACACTTGAAACTATAAACTTCCACAGCACACTTAAATTCTGTTGATCAAAAAAAAAGAGTAAAAAATAAAAAAGAATATACTTACTGTGCTTTGAACTTCTGTCAGAAAAATTTAATGATCTTTCAGAATTTTCAGGGCACACCGAGATCCTCTCACAGCACACGCAGCACACCAGTGGAAAACCACTGGTGTAAAGCCACGTGGCCTGTTGACAGCAGAGCCAGCGCTGGGACTTCAGAAGACTGTGTGGGGGGATGCAGGCATCCAGGGGTATGTTGGAGGAGTTAGTGAGCTACTCCTGTCCCTTGGTCCGTCCTTAAAAGTAGCAATAATCCCTAATCCCCAGACAGAGGCTAGACCTTTGTGATGTCCTAAGCAGCCCTTGGCCTGTGTGTTATGGGCATGGTTAGTTGATAATTTGTGCCTATTAGAGACAGAGCGGTTGGTGTGGGAGGAGGAACGCTGGCCTGAGAGTCAGGAAGCCTGGATCCTGGTGCCAGCTTTGCCACCCACCCCCTGCCACATTGCTGGGAGCCAGTCATATCTCCTCTTCTCTAAATGTCCTGTGAGACTAGCTAAAACTCCAAAGCCCTTCTTACCATTATTGCTCTAAAATTGTAAGGTACTATTTTTAATAAATTATAGGAAATACAGTGTTACAATTTTGCGATTCTAAAGTCCTGGTTTTCCTGTATTCCAGAGATGCTGCTTGGGGTCTCCTGTTTTGTGCAGAATCCTGTGTGAACCTGACCTGTTGTATAGTAGGGAGGGGCTCCACATACATCTTTTCAGTTTGAGACCAGGCCAAAGAGACCAGACACTCCAAGGAGTGTGAAGCAGGTCAGGACCCGTGGAGCGATCCCAGGTCACCAGCAAATAGTGCTCAGGGTTGCCTAGGTGAAATGCAGAGACCATTTCAGGCCCTCCTGCTGGATCCTTCAGTAACCCCGACCTATTCTCACTTTACACAGAAAGAAACTGAGGCTCAGAGAGGGGGAGGGAGCTGCTGCTTCCAGTCACTGTGAAGCCTTATTCTTTGTACAATGCTCTTCCTACACGTCGGGCAGGGCCCCCTGAGGGCTGCTCCCCCTGCTCCCTGAAAGGGGAGTCCAGAAAACAGGGGAACCAGGTAGACTCCCTGGAGGGGGTGAAAATTTCAAGATGTGTAAGGATCTCCTGGGGGCTTGCTAAAACCCTTAGTGCTGGGACCCTACCCTTTGACAAACTCAACGGGAATATTTTCTAGTTGAGACCCACGCATCAGTTTTGCATGTTTTTTGTTTGTGAACTTCAGAGTTTGAGATCTTCTAGCCTGGACTCTTTCCCGTGGAATACAAAACAAAAACGTTAAGAAAGTGGGCCCCAACTTTGCTGCTGGCTCACTGTGAGATCTCTGCGTATTATCGAATGAGTGGGTTGGACTCTACAAGAAAACTTTCAAAGGCCCACCATTGTGGCTCACACCTGTAATCCTGCACTCTGGGAGGCCGAGGTAGGAGGCTCACTTGAGTTCAGAAGTTCCAGCCTGAGCAAGAGTGAGACCCCCTCTTTACTAATAATAGAAAAACTAGCCGGGTGTTGTGGTGGGCGCCTGTGGTCCCAGCTTCAGGAGGCTAAGGTAAGAGGATCCCTTTAGCCCAAGAATTTGAGGTTGACATGAACTATGATGTCACTACACTCTACAAAGTGAGACTGTCTCAACAAAACAAAACAAAACCAAAGTTGGTTGAAAGTTTTGTTTTCAACTACTTTTGCCATCTGTTAGCGCCACATTAGCAGGTACCCCGGTTCCCATTTGACAGAGGAGAAAAGCCTGAGAAGGGAAGGACCCTGCCCGTGCCACTGAAGCAGCGGCGACGCAGCCAAGTTGACCTGCTCCCTTGACGCCCAGCACGCTCCGCCAATCCGACAGTATCCAGCCGCTCCTGCCGAGGCGCGGCCCGGCGCTCCTACCCGGCTTGGCGGCCGGAGAACGGCCCGCAGCGCGGGGCTCCAGCCGGCCGCCGCCTGTCAAAACCCTCCGCCCAGCCTCGCGCGGGCCCCGCCCGGGCCCCCCTAGGCGGGGAGGCCCCGCCCTCGCCCCACGATTGGCCTCAGTGGGCCGGCCGCGGCAAACCAGTGGCCCGAGCGGCTGTCGGGCAGCGGCGGGCCCGCCCCCGCCCCTCGGGGTGCCGCCCCTCAGGACGCTGCGGCGGCTGTGGCGGCTGCGGGGGCTGCGGCGCCAGTGGAGTTGAGCCGAGCCGTGCGCCCCGCGAGCTGCAGCCGGCGTGGCGAGGTGAGAAGGGGCGCGGCCCGTGGCCAGGAGAGGGGCGGGCGCGGGGCTCGAGATCCGAGGCTGGCGTCCCAGCGACGGTGGAATCCGGGCAGCTTGGGGAGGCGCGGGGAGCGCGGAGGGGAACGAGCGTTTGCCCCCCCACCCCCGCCCGGAGGCCCTCGCTCCGGGAGGATGGAATGGCCGAGGTTCTGGCGCGGGACCTCCAGCGTGCGTGTGTGGCGAGAGCGTGGGACTGTGCGACTGGTGGTAGTGTTGAGTGTCCGAGCGAGTGAATGAGCGTGTGTGGCACATCGCACGTCGCGTCCTCGAGTGTGCATTTGCGCGGTGTGCGTGGAGCGGTCGCGCGTGGGCTCTACGGACCGTGCGGTCTTGCACTCGCGGGGGCTCATTCTCTTCGGGGCGCGTGGGAGGGTGTGGGTCTTGGGCTGCATGTGACGGGTTCGCGTCATGGGAGCGAGCGTCTGTCCTAGGACTCGGGTTTTCCGGATTTGGGTGATAGCGGCTGAGTCTCCGAGGGTTGTGCCCGGGACCCGTTGGGTTTGTGGCCCGCCGCCTCTGTCCGCAGCCGGGTCCCGGGCTCCCTGGATGCGTGCAGACTGTGACCGGTCCGGAACCGTCTCCGCTCCTTCGCGGGGGCACTGCTCTGCAGCCTTCGGGGCTGGTGCGTCCCTGTCTCGCTGGGGGACCTCAGCGCCAAGCCTCAGTTTCCCCATTCATCCAAAGGGGGATGGAGACGGATTTGGTTGGAAAGGCGCTGGGGTGAGTGGCGGGTGCGGTTAGTAAGCCAGGGAACCAAGAGCCAGTTCTGCGCGGGGGAAGGGGCTTTTACGTGGGATCTGGTGGGTTTGATCCCAGCTTGGGGTAAGGGTGGTGGCGTTAACCTATTTTAGAGAAGAGGTACAATCCAAGGGGCGATGACCTGCTCAAACCTCGGCCCCGGGATGAGAGGTGACCGCTTCCCCTGTTCTAACGTGTTGCGTTGTCTCTCCTCCCCAGGAGCCCGGCGCGACCCCCAGCCGTGCGCCCCGCCCCGGCGCCATGCATTGCGAGGTGGCCGAGGCACATTCGGACAAGAGGCCCAAGGAGGCCCTCGGTGCGCCCGGTCCCGGCCGCGGGCCCGCCAGCCTCGGCGCGCACATGGCCTTCAGGGTCACCGTGAGCAGTAGCGGCTGCGGGGACAGGGGCCCGCGGGACCTGCTCGTCCGAACGCCCGCGCCGCCGCCGCGCGCCCACGACCTCCTTCGGCCCCGGAGTCCCCGAGATTATGGCCCGTCCAAGGCCGCCGCCGCCGGGAAGGGTGAGTCTGGCTCTGCCAACGTGCCTGCCTGCGGACGTGGAGAGATGGGGGCAGCCGACGTCGCTACCCTGTGCCTTCATAGGGATCCTCCGGAGAACTTAGTGGAACTTTTTCCGGAGTTCCTCAGTTTCTAATTGTTTGGGATTCATTTGACAGTCTGAAGAGGTGCCTGCTTTAGGAAGCATCTAATGTAAACTCGGAAAGCCTGGTTTGGGGAGATGTGGGTAAAGAAAGCTCAGGTTACACAATTTTGCTTCTGTATGTTTCTGATAAAAATTGTGTAGAAAGTTGTCAAAATTTTATTACCTATTAGGGTGAGTAGCAACTCGTGTATCAGGCATCTGAGCAACTGAAGGCATACTTTGATGTATTCCAGTCTCCTTAAATAACAAAAACCAGAGGCCTTCAGTTAAGACCCCTCCCCTCTTGGGACCTCAGTTTCCCCATCTGTCAAGTGATGAATTAATTATACCAGATGATTTCTGCATTCCTGATGGAAAATTTTCTGATTCTATTATTCAACCTGGGTCAAGTGCTGACTTAAAAATGGCTTTTCTTGGGGCGGCGCCTGTGGCTCAAAGGCGTAGGGCGCGGGCCCCATGTGCTAGAGGTGGCAGGTTCAAACCCAGCCCCGGCCAAAAACTGCAAAAAAAAAAAAAAAAAGGCTTTTCTTCACTTGGTGCTTCAGAAGCAGAGTTTTTGGTTCAAAGTTTCTTGGCAGCACCCTTCCTCCATCAGGGAAGCTGGTGATTAAGACACACAGGCCTCAGTATGGTTTATGGGCTCAAAGTCAGTCATGGTGCCGAGATTTTCATGAACATGTTCTTTTCATCACAGTTAATTATTATTGAGCGATTATTTATAAGTTTCATGCTGACAGATAATTAACCAGAAATTGGAGAAATTGTTAAAGTGTTGTGTCCCCCCCCTTTCTTCCCTTAGGAGAAAACCAAGGCTTGGGGGTTTGATTCTATGAGCATTGGGAACCTCTTGGTTCTCTTTCCAGATAATTCTCCAAGAAGACAAAAACTGTCTCTGTTTTATGGCTGTAGGCATCACTCTCTTAGCGTCAGTCCCCGAAACTTTGAGAAGGTAGGCAGCTTGCGTTTAGAGATGAGAGCTCCTTGTAGATCAAAAACACCCAACTCGCCAACTCCCCAACTTGGGGACTAGTAAAATGAAGTAAACAGGTCCTTTTCCTTTTTAAAAGAAAACACCTGCCTTTGTAAGAGAGAACTATTTCTCATCTCTTTGTTTTAAATGTCAGGCTCTTCTCCAAGAGATAGAGAACCCTTTTTAGAAGGACAGAGACAGAAAACAAACAAAACTCCCTCGGAGTATTATTGCTGGAATACACAGATGAGGTCTCTTTTTCAAGGCATGAGTAATGTTTGCTGCTGTGAACTCCCTGGCTTGCCCCCTGCCACACACAATCCTCCCTTTTTAAACAGGTACCCTCCTGCAACGTTTTGTGTTGAAAAAAATCATGGCTGTCATCTGAAGATCCAGTTCTCCCCAGACCGAGTAAATGGCTCTACCAAACGTAGCCTTTGTTCCGCGGTAGTTAGAGATCTTTCAACTGGAAGTTTTGTGTCCGATCTTCTTACTTCCATTTCCCCAAACTCTAATTATTTTTATCTACACCCCTTATGTCTCACATAAGAGAACTTTAGATCAGGGCTGTATTTGGAAAGGGCAGACGAGAATAAGGGGATGTTCTCTCCTCCGGGTAAGCTTTTTCCAAGGAATTTCAAAACTTTTCTTCAGAGCCTCCCAATCAAGCTAGTGGGGTGGGATTTATCACCACCATTTGGAAGATGAGGAAGCTGAGGCCTGAGGGTGGGGGAAGTGTCCCGTATGAAAAAGGCCGCCCAGTAGGTTAGAGGTTCTGGGTGCCAGAACTCAGGTGTACCTGGCCCAGGGGGAAAGAAAAAGCTTTCTGGGCTTGGAGAGGTTTCTGAATGGGCCTCTGTGCCGCTGAGGCAAGTTCTTTTCACAGTCAAGCCGAGTGGTCAGAGACAAAATCAGCTTCCCGCAGCAGGCCTTTGTCATCCCTCTTAAAAATGCCGTAAGGAAACTCACCTTCTTGCTGTCTCTACTTCCACCAAAATATTCCCCAGACCACATAACTCTTTGACTGTGTCTAGCTCCAAGTTCTCAGGCTTATTGGAAACAGACAGACAGAAATACCGATTGAAAAATATTTATTAACTGTGCTGGAAATTGTAAAACCCACCACCTATGATCTGTGGGACTTTGGGGGAAGTTATTTCACTCTTAGGAGCCTTAGGCTGCCTCATGTGTAAATTTATCCTGAGACGTGATCAGCAAGACCAATGGATGAGAGGATTAGTGGCAAAGAATATGCAAGGGCCATCTCAGTGTCTGGTTATTTTTAGGGTTAATTTTGTCATGGGTTTAACGTTCTCAACCTCTGGGTTTTTATTTGCACAAGAGGTAATAATGCCTACCTTGCAGGGTGAATAAAACAAGCACTGTAAGAATGCTTTCTAAACTAAATAGGTAGAAGGGGTCACTTGTATTAATCTGTGCAGAGCACCGTATCAGGTCAGTGATACTTGAGATGATAAGCAGGGTAGAACAAGCTGCGGGAAAGGTTTAATTTTTAAAACTTTGAATGTAAAGGGTGTTAACTCTGGTGCAGCAGTCAGTTGAGGCTGAGAGGTGCCAAGCTTCAGGTCTTTTGTGGCCAACGCTACCCAGTGAGCAGAGAAAAGAAAGACAGCGTTGCTTGGGCTGGGGTCCGATTTCAGATGGTCAGCCTTCTGCCTTGGATAGACCCTAAGCAGAGGAAGGGAGTAGGTTTTTGAATCCAGTAGTTCATCTGTAAGTGTCTAGGTCTTGTGTATTCCCAGAGCTAGAGTGGAAAGGCACCGGGATGGTGTAATGTCAGGGACTAACGTTGTCATCATTTACAATAAGAATCACGATCTGTTTATGGTAGATTCCCGTTTATCCAGATTCCAAACAGCTGGAAAGGCCAAATTGCCAGATGCTGCATTTTTCTTTCTTATTATTAAACACCCGACACTCTGCTTTTATAAGTCCTGACAAGGAAAGAAGGTAAACATCTGGGCTCTGTGCAGGCAGACAGCTTTGCAGCGCAGGCCTGATGACGCTTGTTCCCCGTGCACAGTGCTTTACAGTGTTCAGAGCGTGTTCCCACAGGTTCTCTCGTGTGCCGTCAATGCCCCAGCTGTGCTCTGCCTGCCTTGCGGGCTCTTCCGAGGAAACAGATGTAGAAGCACTTTGCAGTCTGTACCGGCAGATAGCGGCTGTTGTTAATGTAATTCCTATCTTACAGATGAAGACACTAAGGTTCAGGGATTTCTCAAAGCTACAGACAGTAAGTGGCAGTTTCTGAGGCTTCCAGCTCCAAATATTTGATTCTGGTTCCACAACTTGTACCTTCTACATGTGTGTGTTGGCGGCTGAGAGCTGGCGTTCACCACCAAGGCCTTCTGAACACTCCCAGGGAGTTTAAAAACATTTTTGCTTTTGGTATTCCTCTTGCCTCGAATCTTTGGAAATTGGTAACTAGTATCTATGCCGTAGTTAGAAAAATCTGTAGTTTACTAGATGATTGTCTAGAGTTGCTGTTTCCCAGGCCAAACCAGATAATGAGGTCACTATTTATAATAATTCACAGCAATTCATTGGGCCCTTTCTCCATGTGCTGAGACTGGATGCAGCCTAGCAATAAAAAGGAGGTTGATGATCACGACAAATGTGAACTTTACCGTTATAAAAACAGCCAGCATAACATGGCTATAATGCCAAAAAGTAGTCAGTTTTGTAACTTAAAAAAAAAAAAACTTTATTTTTCTTTGGAAAAAAAAGGAAAGGGTAAACAATTGTAGATTATATATGGGGTCAGGGGCTAGTGTTGGTGGGGATTAAGATGGTGGTGGTGGTGTTACCTGGTGGGGTTTCTTCATCTGAATAAGGAGCCACAGTGATGTCCTGGGGAGGCCTTGGAGAGGGGTGCATCGTAATAGAAAGGTATGAGTTATTTTTAAAGCATTTCCCCCTCCGGCTCTGGTGGGCAATTTGCTTGCATTTCATCCATTTTAAAGTGCTGGTCCTGTGATCCGGAAATAATCAGATCCAAATTTTTTCAGTGCTTGAGGTTTTAAATAAGGGGGGAAAAAACCTGCTGGCCAAATGTCAGGCTCAGTGAGACAAAGAGACACAAGTACGTGTGCGGGTAAAAAATGAGATAGGAACATGTCGAGTCTCCAGTCGTAAGAGTTACGTGTCCGACAAATCTTTTATAGACGTGTAGCGGAAATATAATTCCCAAAGATTCCCTCAGAATCTTGTGCAGCTAGAATTCCTCTTCCCTTCCTGCCTCCCAGGCTCTCTAGAAGCTGCAAAGAATTTGTGGGCAGAATGGGAAGGGCCCATCACAGAAGATGGGAAATTAATGCAGGCCTGGTTGTCTCAGGGTCTTACCTGGGGTGGACTTGGTCGGGCTGAGGTCTCAGGACCCTTTGAGCTGTGGAATCATTGATAGGCTGTGCTGCTCTAGCTATGATTAAAAAACATAAATTTCTTTATATGCTAGGATTTTTCTACACTCTTCTCCTTCTGGAAAAAAAAAAAAAAAGCAACCCATCTCAGAGTTATTCATCTCTCTGCGTTTCGTTTGCGTGAGAAGCCAAGTGAGCCAGCACACTTATTTTTACAGTGCGTTGAAATCCCATTACAAGCATAAGTGCACAATGAATCACTTAAAAAAATATATTCTTATGTTCTTTGTTCTGAATGTTGCAAAATTATCATCATTTTCTTTTGGTTTTATTTTGTGGAGTTTGGCCAGTTTTTTAGAAGAGGGGAGAAACTCAAGTTCAGATTGAAGTTTTCAATCCATTTTGGATAGAATTAGAGAGGAAAAAAATAACAAACAAATAAACTGTATTTAGAAGTTGACCAGGGACTGTCGCTAACTGTAGCTCTTGCATAAAGAGCATAATTTT